ACATATGCCTATACACATAATGCTTTTCACAATAGACAAACTACATAAGCACATATTTACATAAAACACATATGAATTATCCTCCTAAAATGTCAATTTGCCTCACAAACATTCAAAGAATTCGAGTTAGAATGGCATTGATCAAATGCCCTCCTAACAAGACTCCTAAGAAATTCATAGGCACAAATCTCATCTTAAGTGTTTAATCCCATACCCACATAGTCATATAAGCACACACAAGTCATACAAAGTACATAAACGTCCCATTCTAGCCTAGAAACCCATTGTGACAAACGTCACTTCCTATGAGCCCAATGTATTCAAACCTAATTAGCTCGGATACCAAGTTGTCACGCCCCGATGTTTATAACCCATTTTATAATTACCAAACAATGAGTATTATCCAATTTCATAACAAATACATATCTTTCTCATAAGGTTCTCATAGGATTACATACATTAGATTACAATACAGGTACAAAAAATAGAAGATAAATACATCAAAAATGCCCCAAGGGCTTATCTTTCAAGGCGAAAGCCTTGATTCCAAGCAAGACAAAATCATATCCCTGATAAACAAGCTTGATAGCTATCAACATGTAATCATCAAAGGGAGCTCATGTGCCCCAATAAGATCTCCACAACTCTTTGGTGGAAAGAAGTCATGTCATCATCACCTGGAAATTTGGATATCCAGCCCATAAAAAGGGAGTGAGCTTTTACGCCCAGTAAGAATTAAACTTAACACAATATATGAATGTTCATTATGATTATGTTCATGCAATGCAATGTCATGCACAAGACTCTTGACTTCTCTTGAAAACCAATGCTCAATGTATAATTTTAAACCCATGTTTGACTAAAACACTTGAACCCTTATCATACCCCGAGAAATTCTCTTTTTGATAAAATCCTTAATACTTATCTCAAAATACTCCCACATTTATCGACCACCGAGCATGGAATGGCAATTGGGCACCTATCACAATTTCTAATAACACTCCCACATTTATTGGCCACTAAGTACAAAAAGGCAATTTGGCACCTATCATATTTTCAATAACCATTTTCACATTTACCGACATCACATATAAAGGGGCAATTGGACACCCATTACATTTTGAAAACATTGCCACAATTACTGGACATGGAGCACGGAGGGGAAATTGGACACCCAACAATCAATTCAACCATATCCCCCACATTTACTGGCATTAAGTACGGAAGGGCAATTAGGCACCTCAACAATATTTCGAAAACATTCCCACATTTTTTGGCCTCCAAGCACAGAAGGGCAATTGGGCACCTTTACACACACAACGCGTTCCCAAAACCACACACTTTTAAATCACTTGACACTTGATCCAGCCATGATAATGCAATGCAAATGCATGAGTTTGCAATTATTCTAATTTGCCAAAATTTCAAATTGTTACTATAAGGATAATTAACGCAAAATAGAATCAAAACAATCTCAACAATTCCCATAGTTATCCAATATAGCAACATCAAATTCAACCTCCTATTATTCCATCATCGTGATGAGTGTCATCTCAAAACAACTCTGATTTCACTTGAAAACATTATTTAGTTAAATAATCTCTTTTCCATTAAACTCCCAAGCTAAGTTTCCAAAAAGATTTACTCTATAACTTCCATCATCAACACTAGCTTCAACAATTATTAGAATTTACCTAACTTCATAATCTCCACCACATTAATGTCAATTGTAACATAAACCATCAATTAGTTTCAAAATCCTTTTTACACAAAATTTCTAGGTTAGGGTTTTTAAAGCAAATTGGGGATTCTCCTCAGTATCAACTTTATCTCCTTCAAAATCAAAATTTAACACAACACACTCAAGATCTATACAAAACATTTCCAAGATTTAAGTGAAAACCCCTTTTTATACAACAATACGTTTACATTTGAAAACCTCTAACTCATACAACTCATAAACATGAATCACATAATCATTTCAAATCATAGGTATATAGAGTTAAGAGAACTCCTACCTCAAGGGAGAATGCTAGAAATGCAACCCAAGAAGAAAGTTTGAAGATGATGCAATTTAATCAGTAAAAAGCTTGATTTTCACTCCCTCTACTCCTATCTTGCAAGATCTAGGGTGGATCTGTGATGAAAGTGGAGAAAATCAAGGTAGAAGGATTAGGGTTTTCAAACAAGAAGGACAAAGAGATAAGAAGAGAAAGAAAGGTGGGAAAAAATGAGACGTATTTTTTACCGTCACTTTTTGCGACGGCAAGTGTACCGTCGCAAATAGTTCCGTCTTTTAAGCCCCATTTTCTTGTAGTGAAATGAGACAAAAAGTGATTTTAAGTTGGCTGAACCCTCACAGGCTGCTCAAGCGGTCTTTCCACCATTTGAGCGGCGAACCTATTCTCTTAGCATTTTAGGCCTACAAAACAAAATATAGGATGTCGCACAAGTTAGCTCGAGCGGTCTCCTCCCCTTCCCAAAATGCAGGTTAAGGTACTGGACTCCCTTTATCACCGCTCGAGTTGTCAAACCAACTGCTTAAGCAGTCCTCGTAGAAACAGATTGTCACACAATCGATAGTTCAGGGAATAAATAAATAATTTGGCAATAATTTAGAGGTATAAACTATAATAAACCCAACAATAAATACACATAAATACACAATACATGACTTAGAGCATGAATACTAATGCAAAAATACATAGCATGAACCTAAAAGCCCGATAGACAACTAAATATGGCATATGTGCATCAGAATCATTGATTAAACACAAAGCATTCCAAAAAAAAAAATAATAATGCAGTGATAAATACATATAAACAACGACTAAACAGGGCCTAAAAGCATGATATATATGATATGCAACCTAAACTAATGATACAATGCAGATATGTAATAAAAATTGACCAAATAATTGTAAAAATTAATGATATGCACGCATGTTGATCGAGCCATTATCAAACAGGTAAATCATGGTTGAATAACTTAAAACAATAAGTAGAAAGAGGAATATCTCTAGTTTGATAATCAAACCAAAGAAAACAAAAAAAACGAAGCAAAACACTAACGGCTTGATGCTCTGCTTAATTTTTTAGAGTTCAGATGTTTTGTTTCTTTTGCTTTTGATAGGCAAAGAGAACTAATTTGGGTGATAGAAATATGAGAAATTTTGGAGGTATAGAGTATTGGAGTAAGCGAGAGTAGAGTCGTCTTAAAAATTCTCCATTTTGAGAAATTTTCATATACCAATAGGTGTCATGTGTCATTATCTTTCACTAATTATAAATTTATATATCTATTATTATTTTTCAAACACTCAACATAAATATAATAGATTTTACTGTCAAAATCAATCACAATAATAAAAAGTAACACATGATAGTATCTACATACAAAAATTTGTCATTTTGCTAAGGATGTGCGGCTGCACATGGTAATCGTGTAACGCGGTCGCAACTGTTTGCCTGGCATGTGCGGCTATGTTTGGCAAATGGGCCCATAATGATTCAATCCACAATTATGACTTTTGGGCGATTTTGTTAATTTTATTTGTTGAATTAACTTCAAATTGACTTTTTTTTCTTTTTTTTTTTCTTCCTTTCTTTTTTAAATCATAAAACACGGCTTTCTTTGAAAAAAATAACAATTTGAAGTTAATTGAGTACAGAATCTATTTCTTTTAAAATATTTTGAATAAATTATATTGGTAGTCTCTATATTTTATCTTTTATTTTATTCTTTGATTTATAATTTTAAATTTTATGTTAATTTAGTCTAATTAATAATATCATTAGTATTTTTTTAAAAAAATTATCACTAAATTAGTTGAGATTACTTCACTGAATTAAGTAAGTTTATAATTTTACTCTTAAAAATATGGCACATAATATTTATTTGTATATTTTTTATGAAAAAATATTAAGAGTTATAATCAATTGAATCAAATTAACAAAAAATTATAAATTAATAATTAAAATTGAATCAATTGAAATTAAAGGAATTAGAATGAGACATTCAAATATTTTTGAAAATATACTTTTGGTCAAGTCTGAAAGTGTTTTAAAAATAGGTTCGGGAAGAGTGAGTGGTAGCCCAGTAGGCCCAACAATGATCCAATAATACTAGAACATTGGAAATATAACAATTTCATCATCAATTAACATTCGAAATACTTTAATTTTAAGACCAATCAAAATAGGATGGCTATGACCCTTTTCTCTCTTCTAAAACTAAAGATAACTCTTGTTTCAACTTATATTATATTTCTATCCGTAAAAGTATTTTAGTCATTTTATTTGCGAAAGAAAGAGAATAATAATAATAATAATAATAATTACTAAGGATTGAAGGTTCAATTGAAAAGGTATTTTATCAACTTCTAAATTTTAAGGCTAGCAAATGCATGTTCATGATATTCTTAAGATGTATTGAATTTAAGATCCTATTATTAGGTTTAATTTCTGCTATACATGTTTGTTATTTTCTTACAAATTGCACATAAACAATTTTGTTTATTTTATTTTATGAAATTATAAAAACAAGAATAATACTATATATACCAACTAGTGTACTAATTAGTGTACCATAATAATAATAATAATAATAATAATTACTAAGGATTGAAGGTTCAATTGAAAGGCTATTTTATTAACTTCTAAATTTTAAGGCTAGCAAATGCATGTTCATGATATTCTTAAAGATGTATTGAATTTGAGATCCTATTATTAGGTTTAATTTTTGCTATACATGTTTGTTATTTTCTTACAAATTGCACATAAACAATTTTGTTTATTTTATTTTATGAAATTATAAAAACAAGAATAATACTATATATACCAACTAGTGTACTAATTAGTGTACCAATTGATGATGTGACATAATTTAAGATATTTTTTATATATGTAATTTGTATAATGAGTGGGATCCATAATAATGTGATAACTAGTATTGGTACATTAGTTAATATACTAATTGGTACATATGTAGGACTTCCGTAAAAACAAATAAGTTAAATGATACTATTCACACTTCATATATAAAAGGTTCCAAAATAGTTGTAGACAAATTAAAATAGGAATACCAAGGCAACTGAGAGAGCAAGGAGAAAACAGAACCAACCATAAAAATTGTTTTACAAGATCTGCTACTTTGCTCATTAGCGTTCAAGCATTATGAAGCCAAACACAAACTTTCTTTTGGCACTTGAAAGTTGAAATACACAAGGAAGGAAAGGTAAAGCAAACGTTTTATCATATCTAGTTAGGAGGGTTTCTTGATTCTCTTCATGATTTGGGCCTTTCTTGGAGCCGTCGCAGCCCTGTCCCTCTCTCTTAGGTAGTATTTCATCTGCTTTTTCATACTGTATAATGTTGTTGGATGGTATCAATGTCCAACCCTTTCAGCTTTACCACTGACTCAACATGACCCTTGAGTGTGTGAAGTTCGCGAAGCCTACAACCAAAACCATAAAAATGTTTTCTTTAGTTCACAGATGAGACATTGGGATGAGGATTTGCCTTTCGATTCGTAAAATAGGACCTTAATTTCTATTAAGATTCAGCTCTTAAAAATAAGAAAAGACAATAATGGGAAGCCTAACAGAATGGAAACTTACCTTGCAACCTCAGCTCTCCTCTTAGCCTGTTCAGCAATTTCAGATAACTCTCTATAGCTGCTTTTATCATTGAAAATAGTTGAAGTTTCTGGTGGTTGAAGTCCATGTAATGTCCTTTGAGCAAGTGCCCATTGAGCTTCTCTCTCCTCTTTTCCGTAATCTTTCTTTGTGGTGAAAGCAGTCTGTTGTCAAAAGAAATTATTTGATGCTTTGTAGTATAGAGATGCAAGTGAATCAAAACAAAAAATTAGCAAAGACCAACTCTTAGTTTGAAAAAAGATTTATCTAGGTTATAGATAGTACCTTATTCTCTAGCAAGTTATGCCAAGCCTTTCCACTTAAGATGTAACGAATTGTGAATTTCATCAAGTCAAGTGGGAAATAGAAGACAATACTATAAACCCAGATAACACCAGCCCATCCCCAACCAACTCCTTTAATTCTCGCGAAACCCCAGTTTGCATATACAGCTATCACAGTTGCCACCTGGAAAAATGATATTTAATTAGCAACTTCTAAAGGGACCATGCCGTATTTTGCTTTAAAAATTTGCAAAAGTCTTACTGATGGTTGTTTCAAAAAGGAAAAGTAATGTATTATAGAATGAATACAATCCTTACCAGCTGCGCAATCATGAAGGCACTGACTAATAACAATCCAGGGCGTTCAAGAAAGGACCAGCTGCGAGATCGAGTGACAAAGATCAAAGCCTGGCTCACAATACTCACTTGCAGGTATAAAGCAGCCATCATTTCATCAGGACTGTTCCTTATAGATTTTACACCAAATTTTTCCTGCATCATGAGGAAAAATAAATTTAAAATAAATCTTAAGAGAAGTATCAAAGATAGTCACTCAGTCTATTGAGAATACAAAATAGTGTTATCCTACCGAGAAGAAGTCAGTTTCCCTCATTGCCCAGAAAAATATAACAGTCATCAATGCTAAGTAACCTCCAAGAACAATACCAGTAGCAAAAATCTCTTTCAATTTCCAGCTATCAGGCAATGGAGATGGCTTCACCCGATCCTTTGAGATCGTCATTATAGTTCCTTAATGATATATTTATACATTGGATCAGTACTCATAAACAACAGAGATAAAGTGAGTATAGGTTCAACATAATTAGTGAATTGTTTAGAAAAAAGAAAGTGAAGGCTCACCATCATTTAGGATAGCAATGATCAAAACCATGAATGGGGAAAAATCGAACCTCCATATCAAGGCAATAAACATGAAACCAAACTACAATAAAAGAATAAAACAACAAAAATACATTAGTAAACGACCATGAAGTCATAATATAGCTATCACATTGCCTAGATTGACAAAGTCAACTTACCACAATACGAATTGTGATGGAGACTGCATATATCTGCCAAATCAAAATTACACATAAAAAAGTCATGGACAGTCTAGTCGGAATCTCAAACAATCTAATAGAAAAAAGAGAAGTCAAAAAACTAACTGTATAATTCTTCATCCTCTGGAAAATAGCTCTA